CTGACTGCATGGTTCAAATTTTGATCCAGGTGGCTTAAAGAACACACTGGGCTTGTGCACTTGCATGTCCCAAATCCCACCAATGGAAAATTTAGAAGAAATATTAATATGCCCATCCCCTATGAGGGGCTATTTCTCACTTTCTTCTGTCTCTCTGTGGCAGGCACACACAATACAATTTGCCCTCTAACAAATTAAAAATAACAAGAGAAGTGGAATCTGTTAAGTTTCACTCAAATGCCTGTCCATATCCATTACATTCAATTCCTACTGATGGAACACTGACGGCAAATTAAAAGATGTCTTCTAAAAAGTATGAACTGAGAGGACATTTACCTTATCTTGAGAGAGGAAAATATCAGGGGACATTTATTGGACAATTTGATACAAGATACAAAAGAATTTGCATTCATTACAATATTGAACAAAGAAAGGACATTTCAGCACTGGAGATCCTCCAAGTTGGGTATGGCTCAGTTACAGTAGTTGAGGTATACCAGCTCCTTCTGCCCTTCCTCACACCCATGCTGGTGGATCTCTTGAAGGCACTTCCAGTTACTCTCCACATAATAGCTCTCCACCTCAGAGATTCTTCAAGGGAAGCTGTCTAATAAAAGTTTCAGGAAACATTACTGCCACACATATTAGCTTAAGGAGAATCACAATCTTGAAAAACTACATTTTAAAAATGTCAGAGAGGACATGGATCCTGAACTTCAGCTGTGAAATAGTGCCTTCAGAGACTTCAAGTGAAGATTTTCTGCTGAGACTTCTTCCTCACTTATTTCTAGTGAGTAGCATTACCTTTCTCTTTGTCTCCATTTCTCTCTGTCTCTCTGTGTCTCCAAGTTTTTTTAAATTTTTTTAAGGTAAAGTACTTTCTGGGCTTTCAAGTCCCTTTAATGTGTTAATAGGTGCCTCTTCCCTTCTGTTCAGGAAAGGCACAAACCCAGGCCCATCTCCACATAGATCCTGAACTTCAGCTGTGAGATAGTGCATGCCGTGCAGTTTTCAATTTTTGCACTTTAATATTAAAATCTATAGTTTTTTATTATCCTTTTATCTTCTTGTCTTATATTTTCTTCTTTCCTTTTCTCTAATTCTTTTTTTTTTTTTTTATTTTTACTCATTTGCTTCTCAGTCTCTACTCATTGTCTAGAGAGGTCCAAGTGAACAAAATCTAAGCATCTGAATACAGTTAGGGTCAGAATATTCCTCTATTCCCACTGATTCTGATGCATAAAGAGTGAGAAAAGAACAGAAGAGAGATTGCAGATCACCTCATCCTGCACGCCTCTGAACACTCATACTGAACTTCTAGAATTAGAAGAAATGAACCATTCATTGGATGACTAGAAATCACCACAGGGTCACAAGAAATATGGAAAAACAGGAAAATACCTCTCCTTCAAGGAAAAATAACTCCTCTTTTTTTTTGTTTATGTCTAATTTAATTTTATTTTTACTATCATCATAATCTTGTTTATATTACATTGGATTGCATATAACTTTACAGTGTATTACATTTTTTTCAAAAGGGAATGCCATGCATGTCAGTCAATACAGACACATTAATCTCCCCACTTCATTCAATACTTTTTAATGTTTTTCCCAATCATTATTATTATTATTCTAATTTTTTCTTAAACAGTCAATCACTATTTCTCATTTTGCTTGTAAAAAGACTTTACCCATCATGAAATACTTCTCAGACCAATCCACTTGAGAATACTATACATGCCATCATCAACAGGTAATAAGTCATATTTATTTCCCACTAATGTCCTGCCTCTCTATTTGTTCTCTTGCTATCTTTCTCTATTCTCTTCTCTTCAACCCCATTTCACACTGTCTTATTCTTGTTAAGTATTTTCGCTGCTTTTATGTCCTCCAATATAAAAATAACTCTTCATCCTCAGACAGTATGATGAAATTTATGGAAATGTATGATAAAGAATTTAGAATTTTCATGGTGACAAAACTCACAGATATCAAAGAGAAGGGAGACAATGAACTGCCGAAGAGGCAGCAGAAAGGAGCTGATGAGCTTCATGAGGTGAGGAAATTCTTGCGAGATTTTTAAAATTAATTAATTAATTTTTATTTACACTTTTAATACATTCAATCACATTATTTAGCTTATAAGGTGATCATTTCAATATATGAACATTTCTCCCCAGTCAAGTTGATCAAAATATAACACTACCTCCCTGTCTCAACGATGCTGTCTTTGTATTCCTCCTCCAAATGTTCTTCCCCAGGCCCCACTCCTCCACACACACCCCATCTGGCATTCACATCCACCTCTTGTGTTTGTACATCCTTTAGCCTGTCAGTTTCAGTTATAGAGTGTGGACATTCGGTTTATATTAAGTGGGGACATACAGTGTCTCTCCTTCATAGCCTGGCTTGCTTCACTCAGCAGTAAATCTTCCATATTCTTCCACTTTCTGTCAAAAGCCAGGATTTTGTTGTTCTTAATGACTGAGTAGTATTCCACAGAGTATATGTGCCACAGTTTTTCAATCCATTCAGCGGTACGGGGGCATTTGGGTTGGTTCCATGTCTTAGCAATTGTGAAAAGTGCTGCAAAAAAATCGATGTGCAAGCACTTTTCCAATGAGAAATTCTTCTGTCCTTTGGGTAGATGCCAAGAAATGGGATTGCTGAATCACGTGTGTTGTTTTGATCTGCATTTCCCTTACAATGAGGGATGTTGAGCATTTTTTCATATGCCTTCTGGTTATTCGTATGATGTCATCTTTAGTGAGTGTTCTTTTTAACTTCTCCCATCTTTTAGTAGGGTTCATCACCTTTTTTCCAAACAGCTTCTTTAGTTCTTTGTATATTCTGGTTACCAGTCCCTTATCTGATGCATAGTTTACAAAAATATTTTCCCATTCTGAGGGCTGTTGATTCACACTTATTACTGTGTCTTTTGCCAGGCAGAAACTTCTTAGTCTGATGTAATCCTACTTGTCTATTTTGGGGATTATCAACTGTGCTTTAGGGGTCTTAGGTAAGAAGTATTTCCCTACCCCAATGTATCCCAGAGTTTCCCCAGTGTTTTCTAGAAGCAGTTTAATGGTTTGGGATCTCAGATTTAGATCCTTATTCCACCTTGACTTGATTTTTGCCAAAGGTGAGAGGTAGGGGTTCAGATTCATCTTTCTACAGGTGGAAATCCGGTTTTTCCAGCACCATTTGCTGAAGAGGTTTTCCTTTTCCCACTGGATTGACTGGTACTCCTTGTCAAAAATTGTCCCGGCCTGTGGAACAATCAAACAGGCTACCTGAGTGAGAGAGTGGAGGTTTGGAACCGGTGCAGCATCACAATGGGAGCAACACAGTGTCACAGCTCTGGATGGTATACAGTTGCTCGTTTATTGAGGGCCAGAGAACATTCTTATATACACAGCAGGGTGGTAATTGGTTGCTCAATATGTAAATGAAGGATATATTTTGGGCCAGTAATTGATTGTTTCGTCAGGGGGCATTAACCAGGGGGCAGAGCTTAGGGGCAGATTGCTGTCATAGGCCTGATTGAGAAGCTGCTTAGGATGTTTGCTAGGTTGGGAAGCCTAGGGGCAGATTGTTTACTCCCGGAACAGGGAAGTCTGGAGGTCATCATGTGAAAGTCATTTCAGCCATTTTGGTGCATGTGGCTCTCCACATGTTCCCTTTTTCTTTTTCTAAAGATTGGGAACCTGGGGGAGTTGTGCCTGTCTTAGGTTGGAGTCCTAGTAGCCAAGTCTCCTTGGTTACCCGTCATAGGACAACCCATAGCAAGGATGGGCATCCTGTCTTAGGTGGAGGAGATGGCATTAAATCGGCCAGACTCTCTTACCTGTCATTGGCTAACCAACTCAGCTCCTCCGGCTAGGTTATGGTGTTTATTGGCATCGGCCATTTCCAGTCTAGTGTAATGGACCTGAGTAGGTCATGAAAGGAGGGAGGTAACTTGGTGACTGATGAATGTTTTTAGCCTTTGGAAGATGACCGGCCCCAGGGAGCAGACAATCAGCAGCCCAAGGATGGGGCCAAGGATAGGGAGTAAGAAGAGCAAGAGTCCATTCCAAATAGTGAAGAAAGGGTTGTCTGACAGCTGGCATCTGCAGGTTTTCAGGGTTTTTTAGAGTTTGTGGATTCTGTCCAGACTTGGTGTAGAAACAGCATCATTCCTGTAAGGCAAGACAAAGGCCTCCCTGTTCTGCTAGCAGGAGGTCTAATCCTCTCCGTTTCTGTAGGACCACCTCTGTCAGGGAATCAAGTTGGTCTTGGATGAGGGTAATGGTAGATGCGACCTGTTGGACATCAGAAATTAACCCTTCTGTAATTTGTTTGATGTGAAGGGAATAACCCAGGCCTGTGGAGCCCACAGTGGCAGCTGCGGTGAATCCCAAGGTGGCAAAGATAGGGATAAGTTGGACAGCTCGTTTGGGTCTCCTTGCAATAAAATCAAGAGATGGGATGGGGACTGGTTCATTTCCATTAAAAACCTCAATTTCTGGGAGAAGAGTAGCAAGAGAGCAAGAGCCAGTCCAAGAAGGGGGAAGAGTGGTATAAGCCATATTATTGCCACAAACGAAAACGGTGTTATTTGGGGGCCAGGAGAGGGAGTGGTTCTCAAAATGAGTGGTGCAGTTGGAGAATGACACGAAATCGAGGGAAATGGAAGTGATGTTGGTTGAATTAGAGGTTATACAGGAAGTATTGACAGGGAAGAGAGGCTGAACTAAAAAGGGTGGGGAAACTGAGCAATTGGAAGAAGTAGAATGGAGAGATAGGTTTGAGGGGAGTGCATAGGGGATGGGCGTTTGATGATGGAGGCAGAGCCAGCAGCTTTGTGTGAGGGTGGGATCAGATGTGTTTAAGAGGGCAAAAGTGAGATCTAGAAGGTCATAGGTTCTGGAATCGAGTGGCTGGTTTTTGGGCCTAGGGAAAACGAGTGGGTGGTAGGAAACTTGTGGGTAAAGAGATGCTACATGTTTTTGTGTTTTATGTTGTCTAAGGAGATTGTGGGGCCCGCCACCGTCAGAGATGTGAACAGGGGCTCGAATGTGCCAGCAAAGTTGTTTTCCTTGGTTGTCTTGAGTGCAGGGTAGCTGATGGCTCATATGGTTAAAAGATCCTGAAAACGTTCTACTTTGTGTAGCTGTGAGATAAGTCCTGTTGCCGGCAATGCATGTGGTGGCGCGATTGTAGCAAGATCGGTGAAGCGAGTTTAGGAAAGATGTACGGGGCATTGGGGAGGAATAGAGGAGGAGGAGATGGTGGGTGGCTTGATACAATAGTACTTTTTAGAAGTGCCATCAAGGTATGAGGTGTCTCCCCTGGCACAGGAGTGAGTCGTAATAGGTGAAAAGGAGAGGGAGGAAATATATCCACCAGAGCAGCTACATGGAGAGAGTTGTTGGCGGAGCTTGGTGAGTGATGCAGGGTCTCCGAAACCTCCAAAGGTCACTCCGAGGAAAGAGAGGAGGAGAAGTTTAGGAAGTATCTAGTCGTCATCTTTAGGCAATTCTTGGTGGTCGAGGAGTCCTGTAGAGGAAGGAAGAAAATTCTCAGGGGACTTAAGCTCCCTGGATGGAGAGTCAACCTGTATTACTAGCCTTTCTGGAAGCCATCGTGTGGCTTCCAGTTTTGGGGAATAAATGCAAACAGATCCTCTTCCCCAAATAAGAACGAGATCTGGACCATTCCATGTTTTGTCTGAAGGATCCTTCCACAAGACTGTGGCAAAGTTTTTTAGTAGTTGAATGCCAGAAGTGCTCAGATGCTGAGTGGCCATCTTTATCAAGCGTTAGAAAGTTGAGTATGAAGAGTGCATGTGCTAGAATGTTTTTTGGTGAACCTTTGGTTTGTAAAATCTCCCCCTTTTTTAATTTTTGGAGAGTGTTTTTTAGGGAGAGATGAACACGCTCAACGATTCCTTGTCCTTGGGGATTATATGGAATCCCCATGACATGTTTAATGTGGGGTAGTTTACAAAAGGATACAAAATTGTGTCCTGAGTATCCTGGGCCATTATCTGTTTTAATTTGGTGAGGTTTGCCCAGAACAGAGAGCATGGCAAGAACATGGAAAATAACATGCTTACCAGCCTCTCCAGTTTGTGCTGTGGCAAAAATGAAACCGCTAAAGGTGTCAATAGTGACATGTACATACTTTAGAGAACCAAACTCAGCAACATGAGTGACACCCATTTGCCATAGGGCATTAGGCATAAGACCTCTAGGGTTAACACCCAAATGTGGTACAGGCAAAAGAGTAACACAAGCTGGACATTGTTTTACAATTTGTTGGGCCTGTTCCTGAGTAATTTTAAACATGAGACAAAGGGTGTGAGAATTTAAATGATGTAATTGATGAGTAGCAATGGCATCTGAAAGGTTTGTGTCAGTTTGAGTATGAACCACAAAGGAGTGTTTTGTGGCCAAATCAGCACGGCGATTACCTTCAGTTAAAGGGCCAGGCAAGTCTGTATGTGTGTGCAAATGGCCAATATAAAAAGGTAGCTCTCGGTTTCTAATGAGAGACTGTAATTGTAGGAAAAATTATGTGGCCTGAGAGATTGGTTTAATCTGTGCCGCAGTTTCCAGAAGTGGTAAAGACATAGCAATATCAGCACTATCTATATATAAATTTAAAGGCATATCAGGAAAAGCAGAAAAGACTGCAATAACTGCTTGCAGCTCAACTAATTGAGCTGACGTAGAGGACGTGGTGAATGTAACTGTTTGATCAGAAAAGGAATAAGAAGCGGTTCCATTGGAGGAACCATCAGTGAAAACTTTCAGACCATGTGGAATAGGAAGGAGTGAAGTGTGGACAGGGAAAACAAAATCGTGGGTGCAGAGAAAGTGTAAGAATTTATTTGAAGGAAGGTGGTTATCAACAGTTCCCAGGAAAGAAGCTCCTGCTATAGGCCAAGAATCTGTTTGTTGAAATAACCAGTCTACCTGACGTTCTGTATATGGCTGAATGATGGTATCAGGGTCTTTGCCAAAATATGTGACACTCAATTTTCATGCCAGGGTGATAATATCAGCTACAGCTTGGTAATATGGATATATGACCTTGGCTGGTGAAGATGGAAGGTGAACCCACATGATAGGTGCCGACTGCCAGAAAACGGCTGTAAGTGTGATCGAAGTATGGCAAATGACAATGGATAATGGCTGTTTGTAGTCTATGGATGTAATGAATTGTGATGCAATGGCACGTTTGACTATGGCAAGTGCCTGACAGCCCTCAGTTGTAAGTGTCTGATGTGAACTGGGATAGGGATCCCCCTGTAGGATGTCGAATAATGGTTTAAGTTGTCCTGTGGTTAGTTTAAGATATGGGTGGATCCAGTTAATGTTACCAAATAATTTTTGGAAATCATTTAGAGTTTTTAGATTATCAAGTCTGAATTGAGGTTTTGGGATTAGGATTTTTTGACCAGAGAGTTGAAATCCTAAGTAGGTATGGGTCTTTTAGCTGGATCTTTTCCAGGGCAATTTTTAATCCACAGGCAGATGATTGTTCTTTAAGGTCCTGGAAACACTGTAAAACCAATTGACCATTCTCGCCGGCAATTAACATATCATCCATGTAATAAACAATATACATATTGGTCCATTTTTGTCTGACAGGATATGTAGAGGATGAAACATTTTTGGCAAAGCGTAGGGCTATTGGTCATGCCCTGAGGCAGGACCTGCCACTCATAACGTTTCATTGGTTATTTAAAGTTAGTTGATGGAATACTAAAGGCAAATCTTTTCCAATCCAAAGGATGTAGGGGAATAGTAAAAAAACAATCTTGGAGGTCAATAACTACTTTAAAGAAATTAAGGGATATGGCTACTGGAGATGGTAGCCCAGGTTGAAGTGCCCCCATTGGAATCATGGTTTTGTTGATTGCTCTTAAGTCTTGGAGCAGGCGCCATTTTCCTGATTTTTTCTTGATAACAAAAATGGGAGTATTCCATGGCGAGGTACTCTCCATGATATATCCTACCTCAAATTGTTCCTGTACTAACAACTGAGCAGCCTGCAGCTTTTCAAAAGGCAAAGGCCATTGATCAACCCACACCAGGGTATTATCTTTCCAAGTGATCCGATCTGTGTGGGGCACAGGAATGTCAATGGCAACTAGGGAAAATTTCCCAGTCTGGCTCTATCCAGTTTAGGTTCAGGCAGTAGGGGTCGAACAATTCCTGACTCATTTTTTCCCAGGCCTTTTCCTGGTGTATAACCTTGAGCCAGCATTTGTGCAGTGACTGTGTCATTTGGACTGAGCATCAAGAGACTCATTTGTGACAACAAGTCTTATCCCCACAAGTTAATAGGAAGGCCTTGTATTACAAAAGGTTGAATGTGTCCCTAATTGCCTTCTTTATCTGTCCATTGTAGCATTTTCAAACTTCTCTCAAGATTTTGACTTTGTCTAATACCCTATAAGTTAGTCAGTGTTGGGACCAAAGGCCAGGACTGGGGCCAATTGTCTTTTTTAATAATAATAACATCAGCTTCAGTGTCTATTAGTCCAGAAAATTGTTTTCCATCCAACCACATGGTAAGCATTGGTTTAGTTGGAGAAATTTGTTGTACCCAATAGGCATCTGAAGAACCAAAGCCTTTGTTGCCCCGTGAGGAGGCTAGGATATTGTTTTGAGTCGGGAGCAATGGATGGAGCAGGAGTTGAGCTATGCGTTTGTTGGCAGGGATGGTTGCAACTGAATTTGGAGAAGAGGCCATAATCTTAATCTCCCCTTTAAAATCATTGTCTATTACACCAGGAAAGACCTGAAGTCCATCCATGGTGGCACTACTGCGTCCTAGGAGTATAGCGAAGGTTTTGGTGGCAGAGGGCCAAAGACCCCAGTAGATACCATGTGGGCGATGGAACAGAGGTCCAGTCCTGCACTTCCTGGTATTGCTCTGGAGAGGTCTGAAATGGATTGTTGTTGTTCCTGGGTGAAACAAACCCTAGAGCCCCAAAAGCTTGTTTGGGTTGGGGGGCCTGGGGCAGGCCCCTGTTCCTGTTTCCTGAATTACATGGAAGGGGCTGACCATGGATGTTAGTTTTTGATCGACATTCTTGGGGGAGGTGGCATCCCTTAAGGCATCTAGAGCACAAGGGGAGTTTTTGTTTTGGCCTTGTGTCAAGAGACCTCTTAACCTGACATTGTTTGGTCATATGTCCGGGTCGTCCGCAGTTGAAGCAATTATTGCAAGAGAGAAACTGCTGGGCGGGGGTGCCTTGAAGGGCAGCAGCTATGGCTAGTCCCTGATTGTAAGATTTAGAGTCTACGTCCCAGACAAATTGGTTTTCTTTCTATGTGGCCTAATCGCTGCCTGGCAGGCGGCATTTGCATTTTCGAACGTTAATTGTTTAATAATTTGTGTGTTTTCTTGGGAATTACCAAAAATTCTTTCTGTGGTCATAATCGGTCGATTAGCAAATTCTGAGAAAGGCTTTCTGGGGCCTTGTCTGATGCTAGTAAGGGAAGTATCAAGGTCGCCTTTTGTAGGGAGCCTTTTCCAAGCTTTTAAGCCAGCCGTATGGATTTGCTCAAATAAACCAGGGTCATATTGTAGCTGGTTTTCATGGGTTGAATAATTACCTTCTCCAAGTAGCATGAGCGTTACAGCAGGCTGCATCCTTGCAAGCCTCTGTGTATTCTGATTTCCAAAGTAAATAATCCCTTCCAGAGAACACAGCTCTTGTCAAGGTTTGCCAATCTGATAGCGTAAGCCATCCTTCAGTAATGGTCTCCAATAAGGTGAGTGTATAAGGAGCTAATGCACGATACTGGGTAATAGCTGTTTTAAGTTCCTTTCTGTTTGAAATCAAAACCATTATGTCTCCTCCAAACATTGTCTTGTTGGTCTGTAACTTTTGTAACTGGAAAAGTCTCATAAGTTAATTTTGGTTTATGGTGGGCTGTTTTTAGGGTTATATTTGTGGGAGTTTTTAATTGTTCCAATTGTAGAATTCACTGACAGTGTTCTTTTTCTAATTGGACTTGTTCTTTTAACTGTTCAATCTTAAAATAAGTTCTTTTTTGGAATTATCGAGGGGCGGTGCTGAAACATTATAAGGCGGCAGCCGCTTTTTAAAGGGTGGCCAACTAAGATTGTTACTTTTTGTTGCTTCTGCCTCTAGAACTTCTTCCTCGGAGCTAGTTTGTTCCTCATCAGAATAATTTTTGAATTTGGAAAGGGAGGGGTATAGTTTTTTCTTTGGTTCATGTGAAATTTTTAAGGCATTATTATTTTCTTTTTGGTTCTTTGGCCTCTTAAATGTCTCACTTCTCTGTGTATTCTTTGGACTCTTAAGATTCTCACTTTCCTTTGTAATATCCTCGTCACTATCTAAGGATATAAGGTCTATATTTTGGACATTTTTAGACTCCGGGATATCTGAGGGAACAACACTCTTTTCTTTGGGTAGCTCGTTCTGCACAATCTGCTCTCCCTCAGCAAGAATAGCAGTGATTTTTGTGTCATTAGGGTGGAAACTAAGGATGTCATTTATTAGATTCCAGTAGGAAATTGTGGTTACAGGAACCTTTTCTGGGCCAAAGGTGGAGTAGTAATCTTTAAGGGCATCTCCAACCCTTCACCTTTTTTCATCAATGGTTCCCTCTTGAGGAAACCATGGACATACATCTTTTAGAAAATCAAAAAAGGCGAGCAATTGTTTAACTTTTACTTTAACTCCTCGGGTTTTAAGTGTTTCCTTCAACCCCTGAATAAACAACTCATGCTGGCTAAGCTCTTGTCCCATTATAGTCTATGCTATAACCCGGATATTGTGAGTGAGTACTCACCGGGACGTTGGCTTCTGTGTCCCCTGAAGTTATGCTGCAGATTTCTGACTTGCTCCTCTCTGGGGGTTTCTTATTCCTCTTCAGAATCTTCGGGGACCTGTCACTATCTCTCGTACTCAGGGTCCCTGTCCAGGTGCCAGATGTCCCGGGCCATGAGACAATCGAACAGGCTACCTGAGTGAGAGAGTGGAGGTCTGGAACCGGCGCAGCGTCACAACACGGGAGCGACACAGTGTCACAGCTCTGGATGGTATACAGTTGCTCATTTATTGAGGGCCAGAGAACATTCTTATATACACAGCAGGGTGGTAATTGGTTGCTCAATAGGTAAATGAAGGATATATTTTGGGCCAGTAATTGATTGTTTTCTCAGGGGGCATTAACTGGGGGGGGGGAGCTTAGGGGCAGACTGCTGTCACGGACTTGATTGAGAAGCTGCTTACGGATGTTAGCTAGGTTGGGGAGCCTAGGGGCAGATTGTTTACTCTCGGAACAGGGAAGTCCGGAGGTCATTGCATGAAAGTCATTTCAGCCATTTTGGTGCATGCGGCTCTCCACAAAAATCAGTTGACTGAATGATTGGGATTTATTCCTGTGAACTAAAGTCTATTCCATTGGTTCACATGTCTGTTCCTGTGCCAATACCATGGTGTTTTGATTACCACAGCTCTGTAATATATTCTTGGGTCAGGGAGTGTGATGCCGCTCACTCCACTCTTCTTTTGTAGAATAGCTTTGGCAATGTGGGGTCTTTTATTATTCCAGACGAATTTTATGATTGTCTTTTCTAAATATGTGAAGAATGTGTCTGGTACTTTGATTGGCATTGCAATAAATAGGTAGATTAATTTGGGTAGAATTGTCATTTTGGTTATATTAATTCTTCCAATCCATGAACATGGGATGTCTGTCCACTTGTTTGTGTCATTTTCAATTTCTTTTTTTAGCTTCTCATAGTTTTCCTTGTGGAGGTCTTTAATGTCTTTGGTTAGATTTATCCCTAAGTATCTTATACTTTTAGTGGCTATGGTAAATGGAACAACTTTTTTCAGCTCTATCTCTGTCTGCCTGTTGTTTGTATATAGAAAGGCTATAGATGTTTATAGAAATGCTATAAACACTATAGAAATGTGTATTAATTGTGTATCCTGCAAATTTACTGTATTCATGCATTACTTCCAGAAATTTCTTCATGGAAATCATTGGGTCTTCTATGTACAAAATCATGTCATCTGTGAATAGAGAGAGTTTCACCTCTTCTTTTCCTATTTGAATGCCTTTAATTCTTTCCTCTTTTCTGGTTGCATTGGCGAGGACTTCCAGTACTATATTAAAAAGGAGTGGAGAAAATGGGCATCCTTGTCTTGTACCCGCTTTTAGTGGGAAAGCTTTCAGCTTTTCTCCATTGAGGATGATATTCACGATGGGTTTTTCATAGATAGCTTTTACTGTGTTGAGAAATGACCCTTGTATGCCAATTTTGCTGAGCGTCTTGAACATAAAGGATGTTGTTTCTTATCAAATGCTTTTTCTGCATCAATCGATATGACCATATGGTTTTTATCTTTCTTCCTGTTACATTTATGGTTTTGCATATGTTGAACCAACCTTGCATTCCTGGAATAAAGCCTACCTGATCATGATGTATAATCTTTTTTATAAGTTGTTGGATAC